GGCGAGCCGTGGTTCACTTCAGAGGCTCGCGGCACCTGCCCCAGGATGTTGGCAAAAAAAAAAGTTGAGGAGGGTACGGCACCCCGGGTTCCAGCGCCATCACTGATCGCCGTACTAACGAGGCCTGTGGCCGCTTAACTTCACAAATCGGACGGGATATGGTGCATTCGGCCAAGTATGGTCGTACCCGATATACACGCAAAAGAACATATTATGCTCCCGGGGGTGTTTCACTTATAAACTGAGGGGTTGGGCATGGTGGAAAACTCTTGCTTTCCCCACTTCAACGCTGGGGAAGATGGGTTTGAAAGGTATTCCGCAAAGATGACCCTTCCCCGTTCCCCTCGTGACATGGTGTGGCCATCCAACCGCACCTTTTACTCGGCGGCACGCGGCATCACGAACAAAAAGAACAAGAGGGTGTGGTGGGTCCTTCCCTATGATAAAGGCAAATTCTGCTATGGTTATGTGAAAAGGAAATCCATAGAAAGTGTAGAAAAGGGGTGAAATCTAAACAGAACATTTCGTCCCACAAAGTATTTTGGTTTATTAGGGGAAATTCCCAACAATGTATGGAGTATGTTTACTATCCCGGAATATATTCAAGTGCTTGACCATGACGCCAAGATAAGTTAGCCCCCGATCACCAAAGTCTTTTTATCTTTAAATGGCGATCTGTTGAAATATTGTAATCTGTAAAGAAAAAAGAAAAGATTGCCGCACTGACGTCGGCTTCTGCCCCAAGTAACGCTGTTGCAAACAAAAGCGCTTCTGTGTCATTTTTTAGCTTGCAAAGATTGAGTAATAAACGATCATGCCCATTTTCACCAACAGAATCCTCCATGGCGTTCTTTGGGGCAGTGTTTGTGGATGCGTGCGGGTTTCGCCATTACCTGGGTTGTTGTTGTTGTTACCGTTGCTTCCCCCGAACCAAAAACTTCGAATTGAAGAAATAGTGGCGATAGAAAACGCCATGTTATCTTGTTGCGAAGCAAGAAACGTGAGTATAAAAAAAAACCTTCTGCCAGCAAAGAACCCCTTAAGGTATATAAAGTGTGGTGGGTGCTGGTGATGGTATTCTTCCACTGTGGTTCACGTGTCTTCTGCACAAAAGAGAGATATTAGCACAGAGCGGCGGAATCATTGAGTTCGATATTTATATAAACGCAGGAATCAAAACCATAAAGCAAGACCTTTGAATGATTGTGTAACCAATAAGAGTGACGTTATGAGTTTATTTTCATTTCATTTATATCTTCCATGGGGTTTGCTTGATGTAGGAATTGTACAGAAACAGATCCTTGGTGATGAGGGCCGCCTTCATATGGCGTCAGGGTGTGGGGTATATGAATTTATTCAAGGAAACTAAATGCACTCACCAAATGTTTGAAGTGGGTGGTCTCCTTAAAAACCAAATTCTTTTTATTTTTCTTTTCAATACATGCGTTCTTCGGAATGGCATCCCCTTGGTGGCGTTTGGCCATCGGAAGGTGGAGCCAATGTCCGTTATCCCTTATTTTGAGGGAAGCCATGAGCCAGCAAATTCTTTTTCTTGAGAGTTTACTCGTTCATAAGCTACAAACGTCATACAGCACCGGGCCCCGCAGAGTCGTGCTGGGACGAAACTTTATCCAATGAGGTCCTGGGGCGCGAATCAGTGTGCCATCAGCAGCAGTTTCTTTTATATATTTCAATTTAGTGTGAATGCTGCTAAAAAAAGAGTGGCACGGACCCTAGAGATAATAACAATTATGTCCTCAAGTGGGGGAAATTGGGTTTGGCCGCTGAGGGGACTCAGAGGGGCGAAAAAAATCCATGTTCTGCCTCCTACGAGATCCATTATAATTTCATTACCAATGCATACTCCCCATGCCCAACGGTAGTAAAAAAATAATATAAAAACAAATTGTATTCATGTATATTTATGTATTACTCCTCTTCATGGCCAGTTTCATTGGAGTAATATCCATAAATCCACGAAGAACAGAAAGAAAAACATGGTGGTGTGGTGTGGGGTCCTTTTTGGATAGGGGGATATGTAATATCGTACCCTCCTAATACACACCATAAAGTAAAGGGACGTGTGAGAATGGGTGGGTGATTTTTTTGCTGATAATGCAGTGGGAGGAGGAGAAGAAGAGGCGAACCGGCATTCTGAGGAAAAATAAAATAATAATAATAAGGATGAATAAAGAGGTAGTATGTGTGTGAGAGAGTAATTGTGTGTTGCCGCTGTTTGTAAAGAGTGGCATGGTATTACAGTGATGTATGCAGTCATTTTTGTTTATGGTTGTGGGTGAGTGGGTTTTGGATTCCAATTGTGGTGTTGGTATAAATATTATGGTGATGCATTGGTTTCTTTTCTTTTTCTGTTTGCAAGTGTGTTGATTATTATTGTACAGTCTATTTGTTTTGCTGATGATTTGTGGTATTGTTTTTGTATGTTGTTGGGCTAACACTGTGTTTTTGGTGTATTTTGGTGTTCAAACTGCCTGGTAACGGTTTTATTATTATGAGAATACAGACACACATTGTGTGTACGAATACCGAGTAAGATATTGGAGTGTGTGTAGAGACGTTTATTCAATATTGCTTTGATACCATTTGTTTTCCACTTCTAAATTCAAGGTGTTGTTTCAATATTTGTGTAACTCTGGGTGTGTTTTATTGTGTGAGTGGTTCATTGTGTTCCCTCATTGGGTTGTTGTTTGATTGCTGCTTTGTGATGTGTATCCTCTCTCTCTCTTTCCGTGTTGATGTGTACTCACTGCCTTGTGTGTTAAATGTGCGTCTACTTTTCTCCTTTTCTTCTTCTTCCCTGTTACCAGGGGTCCAAGCAACCCACAGTGACAATCTTGACAACGATGTTCGTCCGACTGCGTGGTGTGGTGTACCTGTTGGTACTTCTGCATTGTTGTGCGTGTGTGGTGCGTGCGACTGGTGGTGGTGGAGCGGTGGCGGTCGCAAGCAATGATGGGACGGTTGATGTGCGGAGTCCACACGACGAGGTCTTGTTGGCGGAGAATAGGACAGCGGAGTGGTTGAATAAGGCGGATGACTTGTACGTGGAGGGAGACGGATGTCGTTTTCTCTGGGAAGAAGAACTGAAATTGTGCAAAGAACTTGTCGATAGTACCGAACGAAAAACGAAGGAAGTCAGTGATTACGTCACGAAGACGAAAGGGAAAGGCAGTTCGACGGCATTAAATGAAACGGTGAAAGGGAAAGTAAAAGAGTTGCTCCAGGGCGTGAAAGAGACGGTGCTCAAGACGACATCAGCGGTCAAAGACGTTAGAAGGATTAAAGACATTTGTACAAATACGCTCGGTAGCATGGAAAACGCGCTGACGACGTTCAACACGACGAGGGAGTTTTTTATGGTGGAGAGACATAAGGAAACAAATCAAACTTACTGGACGCCGGAAAAAGTGAAACTTGCAGAAGACAGTAATAGGACGTTCTTCAGGTTGTCAGGAGTATGGGAGAAGCTGGGTGCGGTGGTTGGAAAGAACAAGGTGTTGCTTTTGTGGGATGTTGATCGTCGTATGAAACCCGCGAGAAAGAAGACGGAGGGGCTGAAGACGGTTTTCGAGCGTGAGGATGGCGTTGACAAGGAAATTAAAACCATAATCGATGAAGTCGGAAAAACAATTGACGAGGCTGTTGGTATAAGGACACAGAAAGTCATGGTAAGGAAAGATGAATCTACTGTTGATAGCAAAATAGAGAATGCAAAAAAAGAAGCAAGACAACGGATGGAAGAAGCAATAAGGGAGGAAGAAAGAAAGCTGGCGGAGGATGAACAGGCAAGAAAGGATGAGGCAGCGAGACAGGAAAGAGAAAAGCGAGAGAAACGGGAAGAAGAAAAGAGACTGGCCATGGAACAGGAGAAAATGGCTCGACAAGAACAGGCGAATGACAAAAAAGCGGAAGAGACGGAAAAGAAAAAGGCTAAAGAAGAGGCTGATAAAAGAAAAGCTGATGAGAAAATAGCCCAAGAAGAAAAGGCCAAACAAGATCGGGAGAGAAAGGATGCAGAAGAAAAGGCTAGAGAAGCA